GTGTGGCTAGGACTCATCTAGATGTGACATAACTATGTCACATCTAAGTATGACATCACACAACATCGGCAAAAACACAATTAAAAAAATATTATGTACAAATCTTGAAGCCCCTTAGGGCATGGCCAATGCGCCACCCTGGACAGATGCCTCACAAGGTACACGTCGGAAACAAGCCATCGTGGACACGTCTGACCAAAAAGATGGTAGCTTGCAGAGGGAAGGTGGATCCTGCAGAGGAGCCAAGTGCTTGAGAGAAAAGGAGTGGTCCCTGTAGAAAACCGGAGAGAGAGAAGGAGAGTGCAGATGTGCCCAGTTTTTTATATATACTTATGTTTGGAGCTTTCTTCACCTCAGCAGGCTGCCACATGACATCACTTGCGTTGGGTAAATTATTTGTGTGCTATAGCCTGAACTGATGTGGCATCTGAGACCATCCCTAGGTGCTGCTTCCGTTGTACATGCCCTTATTATATGATGAACTACTTAGGTGTGACATTCTTAAAAAATATCTAGATGTGAATTAGTCATTCTAAATTAACATTTGCGGACGATTTGAGTCCTGTGGTGGAGTTGGCCTTATACTTACCAAACAAACGACTTTTGATTGTCTTCCGGACAGAACATAGTGGCCGAGGGACAGGAATTCATGCGACATGACTAACGTTCATGTCAATCTACGTCCCGCGGCACGTCGAAAACTGCCAGGGGCGTCGGGTTGGCCCAGGAGAGGCATGCATGGGTGAGTTGGAAAGCTGGGAACACGGTAGTACGAGCAAACTATTCGGGGGCACACACGCTGGCCTGGCTGCTGTGAAGCGGTCGCGTTCCTTTCCAGCTACGGTCACGGATCGGCCGCAAAAGGGCAAATGATCCACTGGCCCGCCCGCCGCTAGATCCCACGCTCCTCACTCCTCGCTCGGTCTTGAGCAAGTTTTACCATGCATGCTGGCCATTAGTGGCTCTGCTACATAAGATGGGGGTCGTGATTACTCTGCGGGCACATGCGGACATAATCAACTCGCCCACACGCTCGAAGCAAAACAACAAACGTCGTGTACTCTGCGTGAGAGCGCGAGCCCTAGTGCAACAAATCAATGCAAGACTCTGCGTAAAGCTGCGCATGCACTGATGCACCAAGCGCATAGCTAGCGGCAGTGACAGGTGGAGCCTGGACCACACCCCTGGCGTCGGGCGCGTCTGGCTCGTTCGCTCGCCCGCCGCACCGGCCCCCAGCGGCCGGGCGGCCGGTGCTCGATCGAATGCCGGGGGCGGCGGCGCGCGCGTTCGTCGTCCGAGTGCTACTACGGCCGAGGGCCGTCCCGTTGCCCCGCGCGCGCATCGCATGCGTTGGTCGCTCGTGTCCGTGCGCAATCGCACGTACGGGAGGGCGTGGTGGGAACGTGCCGCCCGCCCGTACGCCGGCCGGTGGCCTTTGCGCGGATGGGCAGCGCCGTACCGTGGACGTGCGGGACGTATAGGTTGATTCATTTGCTCATGGGTATGGGTTTGTCACCCGGTTAATTTGCCACTTGTCAAGGGACGATTCTTCTAGCCGCGCAAGGGCTTTGACTGAATGTCCGAACGTTTTTTTTTTCTGGAGTGTAATCGACATTCGTTAAAAGAAAAACGTTTTCCCTTAGTGGAAGATGTAGTAGAGCATCGTAGCATTTCCTGAAAAGCCCTCTCTTTTTTTCATGGTAATATGTGTCTCATTCATATCATTAGATGACATATTTTCTCCCTCTATCCCCTAGGATATACTAATATGCACATATATCTATACACTGTATACAGTATTCACTGCTTGCTTGAGGATATAAAAACACAGTGACCCTCTCAGCCGGTGACACGTGGGTTCCGCGAGTGGGGTACTTAACTACGTACTGTATAGCAGCGAGTTTTTTTTTTAGAGAAAAACAGCAAGGGTAAAAAGGCGCGAAGCGCCATGGACGCAGGCCGGGACCATGGGCCAAAGATTCTTTTTATGGAAGCAGGGCCGCCCATCTAATTGAACGAGAAGGTCTCAAACTATTTAATGGCGTCCGACGAAACGGCACAGCTGCCAGTGCCACAAGGTGGGCGCGGCATCGATCAGATCTGCGGAGCAGGCGAAGCAGTCGCCCCCATCCACATGAGACTCACTGGACCTCAGAAAGGGGCCGGCCCGGAGCAGCAGCCAGCACACCGTTCCTTTCACCTGAGAGGCTGAGACGACGCAGCGGGGCAACGGGGTATTTGGCAGCTTGCCATTTGATCCTGGCCCTCACGAACGTGACATAGCTACTCCAAAACGGGATGAACAATTAGCTTCTGGTGTCGCATCAACGTCGACGGCAACCTGCTGCGGTAACGCATTCGCGCGCGGAACCGATCGATCTCGATCGACGGCACGTGCATGGCGCCGGGGACCATGCATGTCCGTCCGGCCGGCCGGCCGGGCGGCCAAGCCGCTGACGATAAGACGTTCGCTGTACGTAGCTCGTCTAACATCACATGTATGGCGATTAGCGAGTGCGCGTACGTACGACGAGATCTGTTACGTCGAGTTCACAGCGACCTCCGGAAATCGGTCCAAACTTGTTCCTTGTCCGGCTGTGACGCGTATATTCTCTCTCGCTGGATGCCACAATTACTGAGAAGCGCACGTAGTACCGTGTTACGTTGCTCACGTCGCTCTCGTCGTTAGCTGTTACGCCGGCGTCGGCGTGCATGTTGTACCGGTGCTTCACATGACGACATTTTCCGCGCCCGCGCCGAAAAAACTCCAGTCGTGCCCTTAAGAC